ACAGATGACAGCAACAATAGTAACCATCATAGAACTAATAAAAGATTATAGCAAGAATACAGTATTCAAGATTAATAAACAAAAGATCAAACTGTAAGTCCAAGAACTGCATCTCTTGATTACATCACTGTCTGATGCCAAGTGAGTTACCATTAAGAGTCACAGATAATCTAGAAATAACAGAGCAGTGACCGATAATTTTTTTTATAATCATGATATACAAATGCCATTCCCAACTAGACTTTCCTGTACCTCTTCAAGAAAATGATTCCAATCAAGTTCAAAACAGAATGAGTTTATGCTACATTTCTGTCATGGCATTCAGTAAGGAGTGGTGTAAATAGTCATTGTGACACATATCATATAATACCAAGAAATTTTGTGGAGAAGCAGCCCTATTTGAATCCCAGATAATTACCAATGGGATGCTTATCATATAAATCCTCAGGTAGAGTGAGTGATAAAATCCCAAATATAACCACCTTCTTTTTCTCCTTTTCTTTCTCCTTTTTTCTTTCCAGTACTGAAGATTCAACCCAGTGGTACTTTACCACTGAACTATATCCCCAGCCCTTTTCATTTTGTATTTTTTAACAGGATCTCAGTAAGTCTGGCCTCTTGAGTAGCTGGTATTATAGACATGCCTTGCTCAAACTTGACCTTGTGAAAACACTCTTTTAAAATGCTGGAAATAGAAGAATAGAAATAAAGTAGATTAGACAAGAGGAGATGGTAGGAAGGGGGGGATAAGCAGTGGAAAGACAGTGGCGTGAATCTGACATAGTTTTTTCCCATGTACATACATGAAAACAATACAGTGAATCCCACCACCGTGTACATCCATAAGAATGAAATTCTAATAGAATAAGATATATCCCATGCTTTTATAATTTTATCAAAAATGATTTTGTCACATATAACTTAAAAGAACTAATAAGAAAAATAGAAAAGCAGAATGCAGTATTTCAAAGAATATTAATATATGCAAATGAATAATCAAATGTAAAAATATTCCATGCTATTTAAGTTAATTAGAAGGTGTTAAAAAGGTTTTTGTGGGGATGGGGATGTGGCTCAAGCGGTAGAGCGCTCGCCTGGCATGCGTGTGGCCCGGGTTCGATCCTCAGCACCACATACCAACAAAGATGTTGTGTCCGCCGAGAACTAAAAAATAAATATTAAAAATTCTCTCTCTCTCTCCCCTCTCTCACTCTTTCTTAAAAAATAAATTTTAAAAAAAAGGTTTTTGTGTGTTCATTTTGTTTTTGTTTTGCTTTTTGAATTAGCTAGATGAAGCCAGGTGTGGTAGTGCATGCCTGAAATACCAGCAACTCAGGAGACTGAGGCAGGAGGATCACAAGTTCAAAGCCAGCTTCAGCAACTTAGCAAGACCCTGTCTCTAATAAAAAAAATAAAAGGGGCTGGGTATGTAGCTCAGTGGTTAAGCACCCCAGATTTAATCATGCAGTACCCCCCACCCAAATTTTATTTATTTTAGTTTTCGGCGGACACAACATCTTTGTTTGTATGTGGTGATGAGGATCGAACCTGGGCAGCACGCATGCCAGGCGAGCACGCTTGAGCCACAGCCCCAGTCCCCACCCAAATTTTGTAAATTAGCTATATGATATGGTATGAAGCAAGGAGCATGCTTCTGGAAATTTTTTTTTTTTTTTTTTTTTTTTTTGGTACCAGCGATTGAACTCAGGGCTTAACCACTGAGCAACATTCTATGCCCTTTTTATTTTTTTATTTTGAGACAGGGTCTCACTGAGTTTCAATCTTGCTGAGGCTGGCTATAAAATCTTGATTATCCTGCCTCAGCCTCCTGAGCTGCTGGGATTGCAGGCATGTGCCACCATGCCTGGCTGCGTCTGGGACTTTGTGTAGGGCTTAAACTGTCATATTTTCAATGCATATTAAATCAGCATATTTTACCAATAACCATCAAAAGCATTAAAATCTGCATAGCTTTTGAACTAGGAAATCTAAGTATTTATACAAAGGAAATAATCATTGAAATGTACAAAGATATAAACTGCAGCCTTCCTTATAAGAGTGAAAAACTGGACATAACTTAGTGATCCAACAAGAATAGTTTATAAATTGTAGCACTTTTACAAAACTGTAAATGCTGTGATCTTAGGGGAGGTATATTATGCAATGAATGAAAAAGCAAATTGTAAAAAAAAATTATAGAAATTTTTAAAAAATTAAGGTTCTTTCAAGGTATTTCATAAAATGTATCATTTTCTTTTCTTTTTTTTTTTTGCTAGCACTGAAGATTGAGCCCAGATAAGGCAAGCACTAAGCAAGCACTCTTCAACTGAGCTATCCCTCCAACCCCTGAAAGGGTTAAGATCTGGGTAGTTAACATTATGATTTTGCTTTTTTTTTTTTTTTTTTTTACAGGGGATTGAACTCAGGGCCACTCAAACCACTGAGCCTATTTTGTATTTTATTTAGAGACAGAGTCTCACTGGAGTTGCTTAGCACCTCGCATTTGCTGCGGTTGGCTTTGAACTCACAATCCTCCTGTCTCAGCCTCTGGAGCGGCTGGGATTACAGGCATGTACCACCTCGCCTGGTTCCTTTTGCTATTTTTATTTTCGGTTTTCATAAATTACTACTTCATATGCGTAAAAGTCCCATCTGAGGCTACGGAATCAAAGATCCTTGGGCAGAAGGTCAAGCCAGATTTGTGCTTCCCCAGGGAAGAGTGCCCTAGGGCACTTCTGTCACTTGGGTCCCAGAGTCTGCCTAGCAAGCTTCTGGCGGAGTCACGTGCATACCACTTTGCTTCTTGGGGAGGCCTTTGCTAGGGCAGCCATCTTTTTCCAGGCCTCCAGCTGGGAGAAGTTATGCAGGGTTTGGCAACAGGCACAGTGTAGGTCACAAGGTTTTCCTCTGGGCCTTTTAGTACTTGTTCCAGCTTCACTTTGTGAACATCAGATTTCTCCCTATACCTGCTTTTCCCACTTTCTCTGCCAACATACAAAGCACTTTTCTGCATTTTTATTGGTGCCCACACTGTTCATTCCACTTGTCCTCTGATCATATAGCACCTTGCCCATCCTCTAAAGCACTGTCAAATGTGATTCCCTGTTGTACTCGATTTCCTTTTTCTATCTGCAGACTAGGTGAAATTTGTGAAGGCAGGGGCTGGGTCTTCTCCAGGGCTCAATGTGGCTGACATATACTATGGAGGTTAGTATTTAAGTAAATGCAAATCTTTTGATGCCTACACATGGGCTCCAAGGAGCTTCAAGTCCTGAATTCTAAGTTTCACCTCTAAATCCCTGTGTAATCTTGGTTGCTGATCCTCAATAATCATGGCCTTCAGTTTTTCCAGAGATCAAAGCTTAGTGAACTTAGTGAAATTCCTTTCTGCTTTGTAAAGTACAGAGTTATTTCTAAATATGCTGTGAACACTTGTGCAGTTGAGCTGAGTTCCTGAGTCTTAATCAACTGCCTGGCTCCAGCTGGACTTCTTACTGATCTCAAACATACTAAGTTCAGATATCAGCCTTAATTTTCAGGGTCTAGAACAGAGTCAAAGTAGTGGATTGCAAGGAAACAACAGTTTCCAGGACAGTTGAGAAGAGATTTCACTGTTCTATTACTTATTTTGATTCTCTCTATTCTGATAGGTATGTACTATTATTGTCCCCATTTTATAGTTCAGGAAATTCAGGTCCACAGGAATTAACTAGCCAAAGGTCTTACAACTATTGCGTAGCAGGACCAGGATATGAATACAGGCAAATTTGGATCCAGCATCCATCTAATTAACCCCAGCTTCTCTTATAATTTTTTAATACCTTTATTTTATTTTTATGTGGTGCTGAGGATCAAATCTAGTGCCTCACATGTGCCAGGCAAGCACTCCATCACTGAGCCACATCCTCAGCCCCCCTCCTATGATTCTTGGGCTATATTAAAGTTTAGAATAGAGTCTGGCATGGATTGGGTGCTCAATAAGCAATAACTGTTTCTCCACTTTCTAGACAACTAACTCTACAAATCCTGCAATTCAACCCTCAGAACCAAGCTGACAACCCATCCTATTCCACCCTACCAGAGCCCAGTGCTGAATGTAAATTTGAGGACTTTGGAGTAGGATTCTTTGTGTTCCCTTCCAGGCTCCACCATTTTCTGGCTCTGTAAATACAGGAACGTTACATAGAATCCCTCCCTGGCTTTCAGTTTCTTCACTTATAAAATGGGGACAGTAACAATCCCTAAGTACTAAAATTATTATGGGAAATCAGTGAGATAATACAATGCATTATACTTCCTACCTTACCTAGTCTACAAAAAGGGTTCAATAAACTAGAAATTATCATTAGGGCTTCTCAATGAGAAGCCATTGTAAATACACCCTCAAACACCTTTAGGGCCAAAATTGGGACCACATGAACTCAGTTTATAAATAAGCTTGACTGGGTTAGAACTCAACTGATTCCACCTAGGATCTATCAGACAAGTACTTCCTGGAAGTATTGTGGCTCAGGGGATGATCCATTGGAGTCAGAAAAATCTGGAGCTGCATTCCAGCTGATTTCTTCTCAGGGTTCTCACATCCCTAGCCTTATTTTGTATTTTATAGACAGGGTCTCACCGAGTTGCTTAGCGCTTAGCTAAATTGCTGAGCCTGGCTTTCAACTCCTGATCCTCCTGCCTCTGCCTCTGGAGCCGCTGGGATTACAGGCGTGTGCTATGGCGCCCTGCCAGGGTGTGTTTCTTTATCTGTCTAATGGGAAGTAGGAGAAGTGATTAACCCTCAGGTTTGGATTGGGAAGGTCATGTGACCTTCTACTCCTTGCTCAGCCTTAGATGAACTATATGACCTAGCTAACATTATCTTGGTGAGCCCAAAGAGTCTTATCAGCACTTCTCAGGGCAGCTGTGAGTATTCCCCAGGAGCATGTGTGTCTGCACTCTGGACACTGTAGCTGTTAGGATATTATATATGAACGGTTAGGAGCTGAGGTCTGGAGTAAGAAGAACAGGCCTATTCAAATTCGAGCTCTGACATTCCTCTTAGTGAGATCTTAGGAACAATCAGTTTCTTCTCTCAGCTTCAGTTTTCATATCTGCAAAATGAGAATAATAACAGTAAATACCTGTTAGAATTTGCTACAAGGATTCAGTCAGACGATGTAGGTAAAGCATTTAAACTCGGCCTGGTTCAGTTTAAGTGTAGAATAAGTGGCAAAGATATTATACAGTCGACTCCCCCCACCCCCCACCCCCGGGGCCTTGCACAAATTAGACAGGAATTCTACCACTGAGCTGTTCTTCCAGCCTTGATTTTTTAAAATAATCTTTTTTTACAATGCCAATTAATTCTCTCAAATATTCGAGGACTTGAAAATATGCAGACTCTTCAGGTTCAGATCCAAATCCAAAAGACAAACAAAAACAAAAAACCTTTCATTTGTAGATGAGGCAAACCAGGCAGGAACCATGTGACCACATCAGACCCACAAGATCAACCCTACTCAATAGTGTGGCTCAAAGGCTGGACTCTCACCAGTACAGGGTTCAAGCAATGCTTATATTCGCTGTGTGACCTGAGACAAATGACTTCAGCTTTCTGAGCTCCGAGGTTAAACCCGCATAGCAATAGTCTCCCTTGCGGGTTTATTTGGAAAGATTCAACGAGATGACGCGCAGAGAGCGATGCGTGGGAAGGGCTCCATAACGCGAGTTGTGGTTGCTACTACTACCACCGCGACGATCGCGACGATGGTTGTACTTATTGAGGTTTTTGTTCCCTCTCGGGCTGGGAACTCCTCTGGGGGTGTCTCTGTCGCCACTCAAGGCTCTGGCTACTGACCCAGGTCCTTACCGTGTTGCCCTCCTCAAGTGGGTCTTCTTGCCCGTTCCCATTCCTCCTAACCCTAGTTCCTCTAGCAGCCGCCGGCAGGGAGGTGCCCGCAACCCTTTGCTGAGCCCCCAGCAGAGCTCTAAAAACAGCCTGAAACCGTTGGGCCCTCCTTCCGCTCCCTCCTACACGCTGATCAATCAAGAGAGAAGAGTGAGCCTTCGGACCAATCAGAAGTGGCACCGGCAGAGCAATGCCCGCCTCTTTAAAGCGCCCTCGCGTCTCATTGGATGTGTCCGAGGGCACACTCTAGACGGAGCCACTTAGAAGAGACTGGTGCCAGCCAATCAGCCGTGCAACCGCAGCTGGCCGGTGCGTGGAAAGTGCAGTCAGCTGGCAGCGGGAGATTGGCGTGGTGCGAGCTAGCGACTTGTCAGCACCCAAAGCTATGGCTAGGCGGAAGTCCTCTGGCCATTTAATGTTGGGGCAGCACATTGGGCTACGGTGTGGTGGATGGCTGGTACCGCAGTACATAGTTAATCCTGGCTCTGCAGAGAGTCGAGTCAGGGAGAATTGCAGTGAGAGTATCTAAGTCAATCACCGGTCAAGGCGCTGTCCGGTCTTGTGTCTTTCCTGCTCCCGAATACTTCCGGGTGAGGCAGGGTGAGTTGTGCAGCCAATCACCAGTGGGGCAGGGGAAGAGGCGGGAAACGGGAGCCACCACCGGCTTCTGAATCCTGGCCTCCCAGCCAATCAAACGTGGAAGCAGCCTACACGCCCCCCTCGCGCTTATATAGAGTGTAAATCTCCACAGATTGTAGGAGGTTGAGAGAAAACTGAAAGGGTTTGCAAACAAGAGCCACTTAGGCCTGTAATCCCAGCGGCTCAGCATGGGAGGATCGCGAGTTCAAAGCCAGCCTCAGCAACACCGAGGCTCTAAGCAACTCGGTGAGATCTTGTCTCTAAATAAAATACAAAGTAGGGCTGGGGATGTGGCTCAGTGATTGAGTGGCCCTGAGTTCAATCCCCGGCACCCACCCCGCCACCTCCCGCCGCCGCCAACAACAAAGCCACTCAGGATAGCAGGATAAAAGCAAGAAAGGTGGTGGTTTCTCTAAGATCTTGCCCAAAGAGCCTCAAGGTTATTCTGGTCGAAGGGGGTTCAGGGCCCAATTCACAGATGGTGGCAAAGGGCAAACTCCATAGCCAATCAACTCTAGCGATGGGCTGGAAGACAAATGAGATCTCAGCCTTAGAGGCGCGAGGCTTAAGCCCCTGGACCAATCAGAGTCAAGGATCTGCTTCTCCGCCTGAGCTCCACAGCCAATCAGCTTCGAAGAAGTGGCGCTGTCCTAGGTGCCTCCCAGCTGTTTAGTGCCCTCGTCCCGCAGGAGCCGAGAGAGAGAGCGCGGCTGACGCTGCAACCAATCAGCGCTCGCTTCGAGATCCAGGCTCCTAGAGCTCTGGGCACCAGCTCTTGGCCTCGCGCTGCTCAGCTCTTTCTAACGGTCACTCGGTCACTCGGGCTTACGCTACCCTGAATGGGGAGAAGGAACAGGGTCTGAGTTGGTGAGTGCCGTGGATTTAAAACAAAAACAAAAAGCAAAAAATCCTTTTTCTTTGGCCTTGGACCTGGCACTTGGCAAAACTGGAGTCCAGGGGACTTGAGTGTCCCCTTTAAGGATCGGAAGTGAGGGTAGAGAAAGTTGGTTCCTTTGGGCCTTCCTCTGTCCTGGAAAGGCTGAAGTGGGGGCTTCTGGGCACTTTGGGACCTAGGCTGGGCCAAAGTCAAGCTAGCATGCCCTCTGAGTTGGGCCATGGTCCCTGAGGCCAGCCTGCATTTGTAAGTGTGTTCTGGGGGTTCACTGACTTTGAAGTATGGTGTCTGGACAGTGAGAAGTTGTCTGGAGTCTCTGGACTGAGTGTGGACCTAGCAACTGAGAGTGGAGTCCTGTGGTTTTTCGAAGATTATGTAGTCACTGGCCAAAAGATGAAACTAGTGTGTACTTGGGAGGTTTTCTGGGGTTTGGGGGCCCAGCCTGGGCAGGGAATGAGTGTTAGTGAGGTTGACAGTCCACTGGGAAATTGTCAAGGGTCATTATTGTGCCCAGGCTGTGCTGGGAACCTGTGGTCCCAAGGATTTCTAGAGGGTTTCTGGACTGTGATTTGAGGTTCTCTTGGCAGACTTTTCAATATTGGGTCTGGGTTGAACAATGTAGCCAGGAGATTAGGGAAGAGATCCTATGGAGGTTCTGGGAAGGAAGCCTCTGAATCCCAGCCAAGCTGGTTTCCCTGAATGAATTATTATTGCCCTGTGGTAGCTCTAGATACAATGGGAATAGGTGTTGTTTGGGGCTTTTCAGTCTCATCCCCACTCTTCCCCATGTTCTTTCTGGTCATTTCCAGAAGATATCAGGTTGTAAGAAGAGGCAGGTGCAGGGGTATTGTCCTAGAGGATAATAAGTGTGTGAGATAGTCTGATCTTCAGGAAATCACCCAGGTTGTCTGTATTAATCATCTTTTTATACTCATGGGGCATTATGTCAGTATCTAATTTCATTCAGCTGTTCAATGGTGGTATAGCTTTCAGAGTACTTTTGTATACATGGATGGGAATGCAGGGGGTTGGTAGTATATGAGTGGACTTCAGGGGTCTGTTGGTTCCTAGAAATTAGAGGAAAATTTGTATAATGTGTGTATGGGGGGTGCAAAAAAGGGCTATAAGGATAAGCTAAAGGAATATTTATCCCCTTCAGGCATGGGCTTCAGAACGATCTGGAATTTCTTATCATTTGTTCATATGTAAAATGGTATGAATGTCTACACTTTTTTAATGTAATGGATTGGTCCTATGGCTTACATTCTCAATTGGATGGAGCCCCCACCCCAAGAGTTTAAGACCAATTTGAATAAAATAGGTTCCCGTATTATTTATGGGGAATGGGCAAAACTGTAAATATTCCCCCATTCTTCCCACATTTGGTATTGGCTTACACCTCATGGCGTCTCACATACTAGTTTGCACATCCAAGCTTGCTCTACATCCCCCCTCACACACAATGAGAACCCAGGGTGCAAATGTCAGCCACACAGTCCTCTCCTGAATGGACCTGAGTTGAGGCCCGTGTAGGCCATGAATGCCCACTTTAGTGTCAAATTTCAGGCCCTGGATACCCAGATCATGATCTCACGGCTGGTGGGGGGTGCTTTCAGTTTCCATGTGGGCACTTCCTAGATGCTCATGAATTTTTCAGCTCATGGGAAAGGACAAAACCAAAAGATATCAGAGCTGGGCTTTCTGCCTGAGTTTAAGTACTGGTACCAAGTACTGGGTACAATACTACTACTAAAGAATAGCCATCCACTATGAGAATGCAGTGGACCCTAAGTTTCTGGCTTCAAGTCTAGTTTGTTTTCCATTTAATCCACAAAAGGTGCGCTATGATAGGGTCTCTGTGACCTTGATTCATTTTGCCTGGGTATGACTATGTATGTGGTTCTTGGGTAATGTAGTGCACCTGTTTAAAGGAAGGAACAAATTCACCCCATTGGGTGTCTTCTCTGATACATGTTGAGCACACTTATCTAGAAAGAGCAAATATCTTGAAAGTTCGTGTTAGATTTGAATAATTGGCCTTTATCTATATAAAAGGCCTTTCATCACCTTGAATTGTGGAAAGAGGTGTGTTTCTGAGAAGAATTTTTCCTAGTAGAGTTTTTATAAATTGAATCTTGTTCAGCTTGGTTTGGGGAGTGGGATCAATATTTAAAATACGTGAGATAAAGGGAGAACATTTGGCTGGGGATATGGCTCATGGGTAGAGTGCTTGCCTAGCACACATGAAGTCCTGGGTTTGATACCCAGCTCTGGGAAAAAAAAAAAAGGTGGGGGAGAACATTTTCATAAAACAAATAATTATCCAGGGCATTTATTTATTTATTTGGTAATGGAAATTGAACCCAGGGGAGCTCTGCCACTGAGCTATATCCCCAGGCCTTTTTATTTTTTTGTTTTGAGACAGGGTCTCACTACATTGCCTAGGGCTGGCATCAAATTTGCAATACTCCTGCCTCAGCCTCCCAAGTTGCTGGGATTACAGGCAAGTGCCACCATGCTCAGCTCCAGGGCTTAGTCTGATGATCTAATTTTAATTATAGTATTTAAATAGAATCAATATTTTTATTGCTGTGTTGACATTGTTACATCAAGCTGGGTTGTGCCTGAAGAAGCTTATGATCCAAGATTTCTGGAAAGTTCTGATGTTGCAGCCAGGCTGTGCACTGAGCACTTCACACATTTCCCCCTATTGTGTCATTGGTCAAATCTATCAGAATAAAAACTACCAGACTTCAAACTTGACTTGGTCATCTGAATATTGAAAAGAACAGAAGCAAAAACCATACCCCTTTTCCACAAGTTCTTTTCCAACATGACCTACCCTAATATTTCCTATGTACTTTACTCTGCCATGTTACAGGCTCATGTCCTCCTAACCTGCGGTTTCCTTCCTCTATCCCAGGGAGACAATACATTCTTATGATATCTCCTGAGTGTCACCTATTGAGTCATCCTGGGAATTGGAAGGTAGGCAAGGTTTTTGAGACCAGAGAGGGGAGAACATCCAAGAATAATAAATCAGCAGTGTTCCTACCAAGTCAAAGTGCTATTTGCATCTGTTGTCACTACTTAGTGCAGGATGGTTTAGACTGCATTACCAAGAATGTAGGGGGAGAAGCTGGGCATGTTGCCACATGCCTGTAATTCCAGTTACTTAGGAGACTGAGGCAGGAGGATTGCAAATTTGAGGTCAGCCCTGGGCACCTTAGTGAGACCCTGTGTCAAAATACAAAATAAATAAATAAAAGGACTGGGGTTATTGCTTGTCAGTAAAGCACCCCTGGATTCAATTCCCAATACAGAAAAAAAATGTAGTAAGAGGTCAGAGAAGGGCCTAGAGTATCACAAGCATGAGGTGCAGAGGGCCCAGAGGATTCCTCTAAGGAGGTGCTAAGGGGATATCCTTAGATGGGGTAGACCCTAAACGGGAGGCAAGATGGGGTTTCCCATTCTTGGGGGTTTATGTTCACCCAGTGGGGAGTCCCCTTCCCTTTCTCTCCCTCCTTTTAGGTTCCCTTGAAAGCCCACTGACACTCTGTGTCAACTGCATTTGGTTTTACAGAGGTTGCTGTCCTTTGAACACAGTCTCCAACTCTTGATCATCAATGAGCAAACAGTGCTAGTAGGGCAGCTGAGTCACAGGCACATGATGGAGGGGACCACATGGTCATGAGTTCATCTCCCAGACCCCTGAACCTTTCCTGTTATACTTGGGGGCTTCTTCCTAGTGGCTTTCTCCACTTCTTCCTGGACTTTAAGAGCTTGTATTTCTGTGTTGGAAGAAGGGTGTTTCCCTGTCTTCATATACATATCAGAAGGATGTTTTATGTCTTTTACATGGGTGTCTAATGTGTCCCTGGGTGTGGTGGTGATATGAGCTCGGAAATGGAAAATACTCAAGCTTCAGAGTAGCAGGTGAATACCACATGCCCATTTGCATGTTCCCTTTCACTCTGACTCATCTTCCCCTCTCCCCACCCTGGTGCCCCTCCACCAGCCTCACCCACTGACACACCCTGTCTGATCTAGGAAGAATTAATACCTGCCTGTACCCAAGCTAGAATGAGATGGAAGGTATTTTAGATATTGAGGAAGAGAGAATAGGAGGGTACTCTGAACATTTTAGGATCCTGGAGCCAAAGGGAAAAAGGGGACCTTAGAGACAGTATTTGGGTGGAGGGGACCAGGATCTAAAGGAGATGTTAGGGGGAATCAGACTATGTCTTGTCACTACAGCAATCTACCAACACCTGACTTGTTTATCTTCTACTTATTTATTGCATGTATATGATATGCCAGACACACACCATAAATATTTTACCAACATTTGTTGAATGAATGAAAAATTTGCTATGGGATCAGGGATAATGGAGTTGTAGGAAACAAACTAAAAAGAAATTTGAACCTCTCAGGCCTTTTTCTCTTCCCCACACTAAAAAGTGCTTAAGTATGAAAGGAGGGGAAATCTCCAGGGACCTTGACCTCTAGGGCAGGAAATGAAAGAGGGTTCTGATTTCAGAGAAATGTCATTTGTCATCAGCCCAAGAAAAGAAGATTTTCTCTTCGAAGACCACCACAGGCTGTTCCTGGGGTTATCCCTTTGCAGAGCTTTGTGGGAGGATCTGAGTCACACACACATCCAGTCCCCAGTGGTGGCCCAGATGACAGAGTTCATTCCCATAGAGCAAGTGAGGCTTCCCAATACTAAGCCAGGGAGAGGGAAGAGGCATGCTTTTGGCCCTCCTTCCTTCTCTCCTTGAAATCCAGATGTTTCCATCCCTTTTTTATTTCTGAGATAGAAGAGTTTTCAGCTACTAAGCCACCTCCAAGAAAGGGAACTAATATCATCTGCATGGTGCTATTACCTATAAACCACTTTCATATTCAAGCCATTTCATCTTCAAATGAGGCAAACGAGATTATCCTTATTTCACAGATGAGGTAACTGAGGCTCAAAGAGGTGACTTGCCCAAGTTGACTCAACTAGTAAAGGGCAGAGATGATACTTAAATGCAAATCAGATTATTCCAAAGTCCTCATTGCCAGAGAGTCACTTCTGTGTCTTAAGAGTTCAGAAATGAAGAGATAGGAGGTTAAGAGGCTGGGTTCTGGAAGTACAAGGGCCATCTCTCCCCTGCAGGGTAAAGCAGAGGCATAAAGCCACACCCTCTTGGGGGACTATGGCAGACTGATACTTGGGGCATCCAATGGAGGACTGAAGTCAGGGGCGGGGCTAACTTGGGGGTGGGGGGGCAGCATCCCCAAGAGCATTTCAGAGCATGTGGTGTCAGGAGGCAGCTACAACCGGTGAGTGGATACCTTTCCCCAGCTGAGGCTTTCCTCCCATTACACCCCTCTTCCTGTCTACTTCTTACCAACATGTAACTTCCCTGAGGCATCCAAGTCATAACTCTCTCTTCTACAAGGGTCCTTATGGAGAACCTGTACCCAGAACTGGTGTATTGGCTGGCCTCTAAGCTGTGTTTCTGTTTGTATCTGAGTTCTCAGTTCTCTTCTTAAAAGTCAATATGATGGAGCCAGGAGCCTCATCGCATACCTGTAATCCCAGCTACTTGGGAGGATGAGTCAGGAGATCACAAATTCAAAGCCAGCTTGGGCAACTCCGTGAGATTCTGTCTCAAAATTTAAAAATAAAAGTGGGGGAGATGTAGCTCAGTTGATAGTGCACTCCTGGATTCAATCCTTAGTATGGCAAAAAAGAGAAAAGAGCCCATGTGGTGGTTTTGATGTGACTTGTACAGTTCTTTCTATTCTTCACTTTTTGGCTTATGAGAAACAAAATGAAACCATCTCCTTACCCTCATGTTGGGAGAGAATAGCCTCCTCCTCTATAGTTTCCATTCCCTTTCTCTTACTTTCTCAGGCACCAAAGTCTTCTCCAAAACCCTACTCTATCACTGAGTCAGGAGCCTTCTCTCTATGGCTCCTGAATCTGCATTCTTAACCCACTGGATGGGAGTCTTTAGTCTCTTCCAGTTCCTCCTCCAAAGATGTATTCTAAAAGCTTCAGCCTCAGGGAGATGATTGAGGGATGTCTTTGACCCTCCTGCAGCCATGACCACTGTCTTGCTGCCCTCTCTGGCTTTCAGGTATGTCTGGGGAGGACCTACTAGCTTTCTAAGCTCTCCTGTAAAATTGTGTCTTTGTATTCCTAAATCCAGCGTTGACTGTTCTTTGATGATCCCTTTGTCTAGAATGAGGAAAGCTCAGCAGCTTGGAGGTCTTCCTCTGCAGAAGTATCCATGATGACTATTCTTAAGCCAGAGATTGCGTCCTATACTAGTCTTAAACCCACAACTGTTAATTCTCTGGCTCTCTCTCTTTTTTAATATTTATTTTTTGCTTGTAGTTGGATACAATACCTTTATTATCTTTTTTTATGTGGTACTGAGGATCGAATCCAGGGCCCTACACACGCTAAGCGAGCACTCTACCACTGAGCCACAATCCCAGCCCTGGTTCTTACTGTTTAAAACCTGAATTTGATCTAATTTCCATTCTCTTACCACCACATTTTCACCACTGGCTCCTGTTATGACTTTGGGTAAGTTTAGGTCCTCTCTTGGGTTAGCTTATTTGGTCTATTCAGAAGAGAGAACTCTGATCAAAGACCAAAAACTCATTCTTTCTCCCCTCCCCTCCACAGGCTTGAGAATATGCTGTATCTCCCTCCCCTTTCTGCCAAGGACCCCACATTGTGGTCTTTCTCTAAGAATCCCTAAGATTGGTATCCAAGGCAAGGCAAAATGCCCCTCCCCCCAACAAGACTGTTCAGCCCATATGGCTCTGATAGGTTGGTCCAGCTAGCAGCCAGGCTCCGGCCAGCACTATGTGATACCATGATCACCGTAGGAGACCAGGAGTTTCCTGCACACAGCCTGGTACTAGCAGGTGTGAGCCAGCAGCTGGGCTGCAGGGGCCAGTGGGCTCTGGTAGAAGGCATCAGCCCTTCCACCTTTGCCCAGCTTTTGAGCTTTGTTTATGGGGAGAATGTAGAGCTGCAGCCTGGGGAGCTGAGGCCTCTTGAGGAAGCAGCCAGGGCTTTGGGGGTGCAGGCCCTGGAAGAGGCATGCAGGAGAGCTCGAAAGGACAAGGCTGAAGAACTGGATGAAGGGCTGAAGAAACATCAGGAGGAGCCAGAGAAACCCACAAGGGATTCAGAAAGAGGACTGTGGGGGCTTGGAGAGATGCAAAAACCAAAGAAATTTTTTAGAATTGGTGGGAGGGAACAGGAGACATTGCACGGTCACAAACCACCAATAGAGTACTCTGAGATGACAAGAGCAATACCAGAAGGTCAGGGGGAGATGAGATCAAAGAAACGCAGCCAAATCCCTGTTGACTACCAGGAAGCATATAGAGAGCAAGGAGTGGTTGTGAGGGTGACAGAGAGAACAGGGGGCTCTGAGGAAAGTCTTCAGGGGTTCCCTAGTCCCCTTCCCCCAGCAGGTTCCCTCCAAACCAGCATCATCCCCAAGCCTTGGTGGGCCGAGGCCCCTTGGTTGCGGGAGGACCAGCCTGCCCTGTGGAGCATCTTGCTGTGGCCGCCCAGATATGGCACTCCCTTCTCCCATAGCACACCCAGCACTGGAACCTGGCAGGAGGTCTGGCCTTGGAACCAGAGGTGAGTGAAGGGCCTAGTGGAAGACTCTAAAATGGGAGGGAGTGGTGCAAGAAGGGTAGCAGTGATGGATGAGGGGTACCACACCTCTTATCTCTACATTTCCTAAGCTGGTGTTGGGCCAAGAAATTCCCACCATAGGGGCAACCAGGGCCAAACCGTGAGGGTTCAGGAAGGGGCCAGTGTTGACCAGGCTCCCAGGTCTTTCTATGGCTATAATTCTTCCCTGCCCTGTCCCCCAGGATCCCTCTGACCCTGAACAGCCCTAAAGGGTTCTGGAGTCAGAATCAGTTGGCTTCCTCCAGCCCTACCCCAGGTAAGCCCCTCACTGTCCTGCACACAGGGTCTCTTCCCCCAGGGCTGGGTCCCAGGCCTGACCTGAGCAGGGACCCCCACCTCACTCTGCTCCCTTTAGGTTCCCTCCCCCAGGGCCCTGTGCAGGTCAGCCCTGGGGAGATGGAAGACTCTGGGCAGGAGCGCACAGGTGAGTAGGGTGAGGACATTTTTGCTTCAGCTCCACTGGACCTACTGATTTCTTGCCCAGATGTTAAGACTGTGAGATTCCTGGCCCTGCCCCGCTTTGATTTCTCTGTCCACACAGGCTCCCGGACAACCTGTGTGGGTCATGAGGGCACAGCAGGCTGCCCATCTCGCCAACACCCTCCCCCGCCTCCTGCTCGGTCTCGGCCCTATTCTTGCTCTGTCTGTGGAAAGAGGTTTGCACTCAAGCATCAGATGGAGACGCACTACCGAGTCCACACAGGTATGGGCGCCCAGTCCAGCGTGAAGCTGTCGGCATCCTTCCCTACCGGCGGTCTACCCACTCCTGGGTCCCCCTCTCCGGCTCCGGCGCAATTCCCCAGTCTCGTCGCCCAGTGTACCCCAGGCTTGGTCAGCCTTCGTCCCCTGTTCCTTCCTTAAATGGCCTCCCCCTCCCTCTGCCCTAGGAGAGAAACCCTTCTCCTGTAGCCTCTGTCCTCAGCGCTCCCGGGACTTCTCTGCCATGACCAAGCACCTGCGGACACACGGGGCTGCTCCCTACTGCTGCCCTCTGTGCGGGGCCGGCTGCCCTAGCCTGGCCTCCATGCAGGCGCACATGCGCGGCCACTCGCCCAGCCAGCTCCCGCCCGGATGGACCATACGATCCACCTTCCTCTACTCTTCCTCCTCCTCATCCTCGAGGCCGTCCCAGGCCTCCACCTCTCCTGGTAGTGCCTCCTCCACCACCACCTGACGGTGTGTTGGTAGGTCCTTTGGCCTCAGACGAATCCAATTAGATTTAGCAAATCTGACTTCAGAAGCGCCGCAGGACAGGCGCCGAGAGCCCTCTCCCGGATGACTGCGGGTTACAGAGGCCTGGGTCAGCGAGCTCCTGTGGGCTGAAATTCGCACGAGTGAGGACTAACTGTATGGGAACTGTTGATTTTATCACCATAATAAAGAGTTTCCTGTGCTCTCTGGTCTGGACAGGAAAGCCGAGCGCAGGCTTTAGTCCGTGTTTCGGCCCCCCGCCCCGCCCTCCCCAGCTTAGCCCCTTGTCTTGTAGCGCCCCCTGGTGGCTGTGCTAACCAGCGGGACCGACACTTTCTCCATCTCTCCGGGTTCCTGGGCCTCCCACAGAGGCCATTGGCCATGAGGGCTCGGCATCTCGGCAAACTTCACGTCAGGTCTTGCAGGGATCGGGGTGAACTGTGAGATCGGAGGCACTGGCTCCATCCACAGCAATGCACGGTGCGCTGACTGATCTGGGCGCGCCCGGCCCAGAACTGGAAAGAAGCGCATGCTCCGGCTCTGCTTTCGGTTACTCGTCTCCTCTCCCTGAGCGCACAACCATCGTGCCTCAACACCCGACGGAACGGCTCCCGAGTCGCTCCTGGACCTGAAACTAATCCTCTGCTGCCGCCCCTTCCCCAGCCCACGCCTCCCGTACTGGCTAACTTCATTTGCCAGCGTCTGCCGGGTTCCCAGGGTCTGAAGCCCGCGGCACCCTGGGAGTGGTAGTCCATTCGGACCGCTGGCTCCGACAAGAACAATGGGAGGAGTCTGGGGAGCGGACCACACCTCCCGGAGACGGGGAACCGGCTTTCCGGGTCCCAGTCGGGAACCCCGTATTCTCAGCTCTCGTGTCCGAGCCGCGGGCGGAAGGAGCAAGGCGTCTGGACTACATTTCCCGGAGGCCCCTGCGCCTCGCCCCTCTACGGCCCGGACGCAGGGTCTGTGCTCTCTTCAGGTGCGGTCTGAGGGTGACGGCCGCCCGGCCCCGGACTCCCGCTCCCGTGGTGCCCTGCGCGTGGCCGGCCCAGCCC